TGGTATTTTTCCTTGCTTGGGATAATAACTGTCTTCTTCAATCACCAACTTGTAATTGCAGGACAACATTCACAGCTCTTTAACCAACACAAAATTGTGATATTGGCTGATGCCTCATACAGTCTGTGGTATGTCTCATCGTGTACCATACACCAAAGTTGCACAGAACTGCTTGAGTTTCCTGAGTGTACTTTATTTTCTTATACCTCCATGACTTTTCACACACAGTTTCTTCCACAGGGCCACTCTCCTTCCACTACAGTATGTATATGGTTAATGCAGCTTACAAGTTGTTGTTATTAGGTGCCATTGAGTCAGTTTCAACTCATGGCTACCCTATGCACAATAGAATGAAACACTGCCCAGTCCTGTGCTATCCTCACAAGTGTTACACTTGAGCCCACTGCTATTGCCACTGTGCCAATCCATCTTGTTGGGGTCTTCCTGGTTTTTGCTAACCCTTCACTTTATAAGCATGATGTCTTTCTCTAGAGACTGGTCTCTCCTGATAATATTTCTGAGCTATGAGAGATGCAATCTTACCTTCTTATTGTGAATCTTTCAAAGGTTCTCAGTCACCAACATTCCTGCCACCAGAAACAGGATTGCCTGCCTTCACATCCCTACTGATGTATTCTTAATAAGTCCTAGAGAAACAATGGTTAAGTGTTCATCTACTAACTGAAAGGTTGGCAGATAGAACCCACTAAACTGCTTCTGGAAGAAAGATATAGAAGTTGGCTTCCATAAAGATTACAGCCTTGAAAACGCTATAGGGTAGTTCTACCCTGTCCTTGGAGTTCTGATGTGATGCTGCAGGATAATGCACTGGACTGCAAGGTCGGAAAAATATTCATTGGTCTATTCATTCATTAAAAAATGTCTTAGTCCATGTTTATTGTTGACTAGGAACTGTTCCACCTGCTAAAAATACACAGATGGAAAGAATAGATCTTGAGAGATAGGTAAGGAAACACAATCTCATACTTAAGAGGGGATATGCACTGTGGGTTAATGCATTGGACTACGAAGTTGGTTCAAACTCACCAGCCACTCCTTGGAAACCCTATACAGGGTTTCTATGAGTCATAACTGACTTGATGGCACTTAAGAACAACAACAACCCTGTTCTTTGGGGTTCCTATGAGTTGGAATCAATTCAACAAGCAAAACTATTTCTGATTCAACATTTGATATATTATAATTTTTACTTACTTATCAACTACTGTTGTTGTTATGTACTTGTTGAGTTGGTTCCTACCCATAGTGACCCTGTATAGGGTTTCCCAGAAGCAGCTGGTGAGGTTGAATGACCAACGTTGTGGTTCAAATCGACTTTGTAGTCCAATACATTAACCCACAGTGCATATCCCTCTTAAGTATGAGATTGTGTTGCCTTACCTATCTCTCAAGATCTATTCCTTCCATCTGTGTATTTTTAGCAGGTGGTACAGCTCCAAGTCAACAATAAACACGGACTAAGACATTTTTTAATGAATGAATAGAACAATGAATATTTTTTCATTCATATTTGCTCAGTTTTTATACTAACAGTGTTAATATTAATAAGAAGACTTATAAAATATTGCTTTTCACCTTATCTTTTGCTTTCTTTCTTTTCTCTCTACCTCTTTTATTTGTTTCTCTCAGAAGTACTGAATCATCTTACCATTTGTTACATTGGTTCCTTGATATATTTTGGAATGATAAATGATAAAATAAAAGTAGAAAAAAGTAATGAAGATAGAAATGGAATCCCAGGATTCATTAAGATATATTGTCATCTAATATGTTAAATGTCTTTGTGATATAAGCAATGGTTGTATGTAGAAATGATCATCCTCTAGTTTTACCTGTCAGAAAATACTACTCTGTTGTGATCCAGAGGGTTTTTTTCATGAGCTAATTTTCTGATGGAGATGACCAATATTTTCTTCCTAGTCTGTCTTTGTCTAGAAATTCTGCTGAAATCTGTCCACCATGGTTGCTTTGCTGGTATTTGAAATGTCAGTAATGCCCAGCTTCATAGCAGTATATAAACCATCACAAAATGACAAGCTATCAGGTGGTCAAAGATGAGTCACCAGGTTGGAGGTCTCTCAAAGTACATAGTGGCAATAATAAAGGCTCAAACATACCAATGATCATAAAGGATTTCTCTGTAATAAAATTTATAGGTTGTCTCCCTACTTCTGTCACTCTTCAAAAGGAAGAGTGACTTACCTGGTAGAGAATTTGGAAAAAGATACAAAGTATGCTCAGATCAGCCCATTGTTTTTTCTTTCATCTCATTGTCTACCTACAGGAGAAAAGGTATATGTTCCAATATCCATGACAGGTGTTTATCATTAACTAGAGTCCTGCTGTGGTGCTGTATGATAAGTAATTGACTGCAAGTTTGGTTTGAACTGCAAGGTCAGCAGTTCAAGCCCTCCAGCTGCTCCTTAGAAACCCTATATAAGGTCGCTATAAATCAGAACCGACTTCATGGCACTTAACAACAATAACAACAAGACGATTTTTACTTTTAATTTCAATCAGCCTTACTCCAATGTCTAGTACACTTTTTGTTCCAAAGTCATATATATATAATTTACTAACTCCAAAACCCTAAACTGTAAAACCCAACACTAACAAAAAAGTACTCTTTCCTATGATAGCCATTCTTTTCACACCTATGACACCTAAGATACTTTCCCATAGGCAAATCAGATTAGCGTTACAGTATAGATAATATTAGATGCTGATTTTATGTGATTTCCAACATGCTCACTTTAACTTCTACATCTTTCTCTTCTTTTGAAAGCAAACAAAATTACAAGACAGTGAAATTTCATTTAAGAATAGCACTGCATATACCTAAATACATTTTTGAACAGTTAATTATTCAGACTTTAAAATTATTCCATCATCGTTAATGTGATATTGTAAATAACAAGCAATTGACAAGCTTTATGAATGATGTTATACTATAAGTCTAAGTTGGAAACTATTGTGCACTACGTCAGCTAGTAAAAGTTTTTGTTCTAACATGGCATTCTATAATGGTTTCAACCAAATGATCAAACTTGCTTGGAAGACAACACTATTAATTTTCTTTGAAAAGTTCAACGATTTTTCATCTATAATTTCAAATGCCTTTATTTAACACAAAGATTTGTGCTCATTCAGCTGAATATAAGTAGTGTTTCCTTTTCATATTACACATGCTATCCACACACTGGAAATAGAGTAATAAACATAAGGGTATTATTAGAATGATACAAAGTTCTGACAGCATTAACCAATTGTTCTTACTGTTCAAATGCCATCATGCAGATAATTTTCACATCATTAATTATAGTGATTGTCAAGAAATGCCAGAAGTGGCATTTTTTTGAAAAATAAGGTTTTAGGAAATAATACTTTGTGTAATAGGATTATATAAATGCCTGATTAGTGAATGAATACACATTTATTATGTAAGAAAGTATTATTTGGATTCAATATTAGCTTAATCATGTAAAAAAAGCAAGAGCATTGTATTCAGATGAAATATTGCATAAAACAGAACACAATATATTACTACCAAAAACGTGTCTCTGTATTTAAGGGTAGTATTGATAGTTTTAAGTTTAAATCTTGCTTTTGAACAAAGCTGTATTGAGACTAAGGTAACCCCAATTCATACCATAAGAGACAGTACAACCAGGAGTAGCGGAAGAATTCAAAAATTTGAATCCAATGTATTAGAAATGTTTGATAGGTGCCCTTTAATTACCAGTCATTTTCAAAATCACTTTCAATATTTTTATAACTCTTTCTTCCTCTGTCATAAAAGTTTAAGTTTCAGGACACCTGGATCATGCTGATATTTGGAAGAAAATAAACATTCTAGTAGCAGGTTTTTAGGATGCTTTGCCAACATGGCAGATGTAGACAGATGTTCATTTCCCTTTGCAATCTGCAGCATGAAGTTCAGAGTTTCCATTAACTTCATGAAGACTTGGGATATTAAAGAGACATTTAGAGCTGAGATAAAGTAATGAACAGAATCAACTAGGTGCAAGTCAAGTGGAATTAGGTGCAAAATATAACCCACTTTGACAGAAACATAATATGCTATGCAAAACTTTTAAAGTCAGTCAGTATGCTGAAACAAGACATCCTTCTAACCATGTAACTTTATGGAACTGCAGTTTAAAACAAGACATCCTTCTAACCTTCTAACCATCTAAACTTATGGAACTGCAGTGTTTTGACATAGTTAATACATTGTTTTGCTATGGATGTTCAACTCGAATTTTGGAAAACTGAGGATTAAACCAATAAGAAAAACTCCAAACTTGATTTAAAATCACTTTTCCAACGATTCTTAAAATTAGTTTGTAGCTAAATATAACAGGGAACAAAACTCAGGGCTGAAAGTATGAAAAAAACATCTTTTTGTTTTCAGGGAAATTGTGTATAAAATGTCTGAGTAAATCTTTTAAAGGACCATGCTGTTGTTGTTATTAGTGTTGTTGAATTGGTTCTGATTCATAAAGACCCTGTATAGGGTATTCAAAGAATGGCTGGTGAGCTTGAAGCGCCAACCTTGTGGCAGTCCAGTGCATTTGCCCAACAGTGCCATACAGTAGACTTCATTGATTTGATTTCTAAAAGCTTTTGCAAAATGTCCACAAATGTTACACGTGCAAAGATAGACTTCTCTTTATTCCCATACTTCCTCTTTTGAATTAAGTTCATATTGTGGCTTATCTTTTTTAAAGGAATAATACATGTATAAAATTGTATTATTTGCCTAAATATTGCTTTGATTCAAACGGGAAGAAAAAAATTAACTTTTTTACCTGAGAATTCAGAAATTTGAATCCATTACAATAGAAATATTTGACAGAAGCCCTTTAATCATTATCCCCAGAGATAAATATAGATAAAAATTTGTTATACATTTTTTAGCATTTTTACACATTTTAAATGAGTGTATTCTAATTCTTCTCACTGATTACTTTTATTACTCTTTGGTTGCCTTAAAGGTACCATTATCATTTTCCATGTCTTAAAAAGATAAACTATGTTATAATTTTACAATTATACTCCCGACTTGATGGCAAACATCAATAATATTGTTGAGAAGTTCTGTCAAGTCGGTTTCACTTCAGAGCAACCCCATGTGACAAAGTAAAACTGAGCGTATGGTTTTCTAGACTATATAAGGTAGCAAGTTCTTTTCTCCCATGGAGCCACTGAATTGGTTCAAACCTTTTAATTAATATCCAAGTACTTAACTATTGCGCCACAAAGGTTCTTTATTTAACAACATTCTAGGGTTCTAATATTCTGTGCACCATAACTTATTAAAATGTTTTCATGTTGCTGAACATCCAGGTGGTTTACAATTATTTTGCTATTACAAAGGACACAGGCAGAGGCTTTCAAGTGTGAGTCGCTATGGGTCGGAATTGACTCAACGGCACTTAACAACAACAACAACTTGAAATAAATTCTTTAAAGTAAGTTTGCTGAGTTTAATGGCAAAATAAAAATATGAGGTTTTTCATACTGTTGTTGTTAAGTTATTAAGGGCAGTCAAGTCAGTTCTGACTCATAACTGTCCTATACCGGGTTTCCAAGGAGTGGCTGGTGGGTTTGTACTGCCAACCTTGTGGTTTAAACTGACCTAATGGTCCAGTGCTTATCCTACAGCAGCACCAGGTTCATATACTTTAACAATTTAACTTCCCTGTAACGTTGCACCCACGTAGATACTCCAATAATTGATGAAAATTGCAGTGTCACCACATCCTAATCATTATTAGATAATAACATTTTTTCCTAATCTTTGAGAATTTGGTAAGTATTAACTGGTACGGTGTTGTGGTTAATGTGCTGGACTACAAGGGCAGTTTGAATCTCAGGGTAGGCAGTTCAAGATCACCACCCACTCTTCGGAAATCCTATACAGGGTCTCTATGAGTTGGAACTGACGTGAAGGCAGTAAAACAACAAACAACAACAACTGGTATCTTATTTTCACTGGATTTCTGTGACTGCTAGTGAGAATTTTAATTGTCTCTCTGCCCCAAATTCTCTATGCTGACAGAAGAAATCACAACAATATTTATCATCAGTGTCAAAGAGCTTAAGGAATGTATCAATTGACAGACTGTTATAGCTTTCCATCCCCAAACCCTTAAACTCACTGTATGGGTATTGATCTTCAGTTGTGTATATTTCAAAACCATTCCTGAATAAACTGTAAGAAAGCCAGTGGGCGTTTGCAGAATCAGGTGGACTCCAAGATAGATTGATAGTCGAGAAGAACTTTGAACTTGTCCTCTGGGTGGAGGTTGCTGGGATGGAGCTAGATTACAAGGGAAAGAGCAATTACCAGCCAAGACAATCAATAAACACACAAGTAACTGAAGTAAGATATCCAGCAAAGAAGGCTTTCTGAGTCAGCATTACTTTATCAAGCAGACATGCAGTTTACCATGACATTAATAAACAAAAGTTGTGCAACAAGTGTTCTCTTAGAATTTTATCTATGAGAATTAAACAAATTCATAGTTCAAAACAGCAGATATAAATGCAATTGGGGGAAAAACAGAAGATTTTTGCATTAAGCACTTCTTTCATTTCTTCTTTTTAGAAGCTATCCAAGGATATATAACATTTTCTTCCTCCTTAATTAACTTAACAGTTGACATAAATAAGTTCCACTGAAACTTGACATTTAGTTTAGTTAGGAGCATAATTTTTAGATTTTTAAGAGGGAGTTTCCATTCCATTAAGCACACTGACTCTTCTTGCCTCACAGAGCATGATGCAAAAGAAAGCAAAATATTTGGTCATACAAGTAGCTGTAGATGTTAAATAGTTTAAATATTAGCAGGAAACAATTTCAATACACTACGAGAATACACAGACACTAGTTAAGGTGTTTTCAGACATGTAAGAACCACGTATGTAGCTTACTATTTTAGAGCTATTTGAAACATATATCATGAAAATATTGTCTCATACATTTTCCTTCTCCCTTTTTTTTCTGACAGCAAGGCTTCATTTTTTTTTTTTTTTTTCAGAACATGCAAAAAATTAAAGAAGAGAAATGTCACGCTATTTGTAAAAATGGCATGGGGCCATAACTGGTCTTCTCCCGTTTCATAAGGGAAAAAGGCAGAGAAACCCAACATCAGCTCAAAGCTGATTCCTATGAGAAGGCCAGACATGCCTCCGCCGGCACCATCCTCCACCCATTTTTGACACCAACCATCCCTCCCACAGCACTCTACTTCTCTGCTAGTCTTAATAACCCACTGCATTGGCCACATACCGCTCACAGACAATGCTCACCATGATGGACTTATTAGAGAAGTTGTTGTTGTTTTTGCTTCTAAGTACCATGGAGTCCCTTCGGACTCAGAAGCCTTGTATAGGCTTTCCTAGGAGCTGCTGGTGGGTTTGAATTGCTGATTTTATGGTTAGCAGCCCAGTGCATATCCTAGAATATCACACCAGTACTCCATTTAGCGAAACTAATAGAGTACGATTCAAAATCAGAAACAATTCAGGATACAGCAGTTCTCTGGTCAGCAGCGGCTCTTCTCAGCCTTATCGCTGGTACACATTTCTGATTTTTTGTCTATCAGCCACATGGCCTCTTGGCCTCTGTCCTGCTGGAGCAAGCATTACAAAGCTCCTTAAGCTCTGTGGATAAATGTCCAAAGGGCACCAAATTCTGCAAGCCAGCTTTCTGCCTGAAAGCACTCAGCCTCACTCAGTCTGTGGACTGGGAATCCTGCTGCTCTGTCTCTCTGTGCTATTGACTTTGATGTTGAATCTCTCACTGCTGCTTCTCTGTACAGGGATTTTGAGGTCCAAAGGACTAGTGCTTTGTGCCTGGCTCTTCTTGACGATCCTGGAATCATTGGTTCCTGCTTCCAAATGGTTCCCTTTAAACCTATGGTAAAACTAACCAATCCCTGTGTTAGAGTCCCATACATTCTATTTTTATGGTTTTACCCGATCATTTGGAGTCCCGGTGTGATGCTGCAGGATAATGCACTGGACTGCAAGTTCAGTTTGAGCCTCAAGGTTGATGGTTCAAACACACCAACCACACCTCAAAAATCCTACACAGGGTTGCTATGAGTCAGACCTGACTCCATGGCACTTAATAACAATGACGACAACCCAATCATTTGGTGGGAGTTACAAAGACTGGACACAAGAACCATATCAAGTAAATTGACTGTACTACACTATTTTTAATGGCAGGCAACCATCAGTTTATATACCCTCTTCTTACTTAATGAGATGTACTAATACATTATTTTAAAGAATCATAATCTCTTCAAGGTTGTATCTTCTGCATATCGTAGGTTGTTAAGGAGTCTTCCTCCAATCCTGATGCCATGTTTTTCTTCATAGAACCCAGCTTCTTGGATTATTTGCTCAGCATACAGGTTGAATAAGTATAGTGAAAGAAGACAACCTTGTCGCACACCTTTTGTAATTTTAAAACATTCAGTGTTCCCATGCTCTGTTTGAACAACTGCCTCTTGGTCCAGGTACAGATTCCTCATGAGCACAATTAAGTGTTATGAAATACTCATACTTTGCAGTGTTGTCCATAGCTTGTTATGATCCACACAATCGAAAGCATTTGCATAGTCAATAAAGCACAGGTAAATATCTTTCTGATAGTCTCTGCTTTCAAGCAAGATCCATCAGACATCAGCATTGATATTCCTCATTCCACCGCCTCTTGTGAATCCAGCTTCAACTTCTGGAAGTTCTCTGTCAATGTATG